GTGTTAATTTTGCCAATATTGAACAAGATACAGCTATTTAAAAGCTTTCTAAATGAAACTTGGATTTTGTAAACTCGCGGGTTTTCTTTTTGTGACTACGCGGGTATCGTGTTCCGACAATACAAGGACGGACTCCTACCTCCCTCCAATTAGAAAATAGGTACTTAAACTAATCCTGATGAAGCATTAATGAAAAAATCAAATGGTTCAAATCATTTGATTGTTTGTTATATTTTTTCTCTCAATCGTTTTAGCTTGACTGGGGATTTTTTAAATTGAAGGTCCACACAAACGGATCCAGTTGTCCAAACTGTTTTGTTGTAGCGGTTTTGCCTTTACATTGCGACCCTCCGCTAACGGCAACCTTTCAACAGCCGCCACTTTTTTTTCGGTCCAGCGGACAAAAACTTCATACATTGATAGTCTTTACACTAGAGCCTAAATAAACTAAGAAATACCGTAAAATTCCGAAAATAAGCCCCTCCATCTATAAGCCCCCCAAGCCGGTAACGCAAAAAACCCTCCGTTAAATGGACCCTCAAAATATAAGCCCCCGGGGGTTTGTTCTTGGAAAATTGCCTTCAAATACAAAGAAAAACACAGTAAAAATGGTAAATTTACTTCCAACTTAATCTCGTAACCAGATCTCACTCTGTGGGAGATTTAGGTACGAGATTACTTCCAACTATAAGGCTATCCCAATCGATTTTGAAACGCAAATTTCCCTCCGTAGATAAGCCCCTACGAAAATAAGCCCCTCAAAAAGGGTCTTTGAAAAATATATGCCCCGGGGCTTATTTTCGGAATTTTACGGTATTTCAGGACAAGTAAATTTTCAATTCTTCAAGAAAAAGAAAGCTTCACACACAACCTATCTTTTTTACGTAGCCTATTTTCCCACGCAACATAATTAAGATTGATTGACATGCTTTTCTCAAAGCTTAGAAACCGCAAGTTCGCAAAGTCGGTTTTATTGGTTTTCAAGACACTTGAAACTTTCTTGAATCGTTTCAACTTTCCGACTTTAATGGGATGCAAAGTAAAGTTACTTGAGATTTTACTTGAGCCTTCACACGTAATTTTTTGGTTAAGTAAAACTTAGCAGCTCTTAAGTCTTACTTAACAGCCTAGTGTAAAGACAACCATTGACTCTTGAATACGTGTTAACAACGGCCACTTTCTTCTGGCCGTTGTAGAGAGAGGTTACCAATGGGGTTAACAGTTAACTGATAATTGGCAAAAAAAAAAAAACCAGTTAACTGATAATTGGCCGAAAAAATAGTTGTTAACTGAGAATTTTTACCCCCATTAGCACCCTCTAGACAGCAAGTTGACATAATCTCAAAAAGTATGGGTGAGGAGGGCCACACCTTAATCCGTTACTGTATCAATGGTTCCTTTGGACCGAACACGTCCCTTTTACGCAACATACACATTTGCACCCAATTTATTTCCAGAGTTCTGGACCAAAGGTAAACCTAAAATTCAGAAAACAAAAATAGGGAAAATATAACAGTTATATCAGTTTTGAACGCTATGTTTGTGACCACTCTGTTAGAAGCTTACAAGTTCCGAGTGTTTTGAGGCAGTTCAGTTGATGCTGAGAAGTATTAATTATGTTTGCGTTCAGAACAATACTATTATAATTGTTTCCTTTCAACAAAGTGTCTATAAAAGTAAATAAAAGAAAAATTATTACTATTTTTTAATTTGATGCTTTTTTATTAGTCACAGAAATTAAGCTGAATTTAGTTTGAAAAATGTCGTCATCTCTACAGTCCCTTTTCCAGAAAGCTTTAGTAGTTTTGTTTACTGTAACATTCGTTTTGTTTTACGTTGTGCACGAAAAGCAGCTAAATCGACACAGCCTTGAAGAAACGACAACACCTGCTCAAATTACCCACATTGATCGTGTTATCAGGTGCATTACTGGTCTAATTCACCACGTTACTTACTAGATCATAGAGAGCGCTTCGAAAAGAGAGTTTGGTTATTTTTTTGTCAGAAATCTACTTATTTTCCTATTAATTGCTTTAATTAGAGTGCCTGCGAAATTTCCTTTGAAGATTGCAAAGGGAATACCTAGCGGAAGAAACCGACACGGAAGCCATTTCATATTTTATATTTCTTTATCTATGAAATAGTTTCTTTGAATCTCAATAAGAATTTTAATTTTTGTATTACTCCATCCTTGACAGGTCCGAGATCATCACTGCCAAGGCAAACTCAATATTGAACGACCGCACTTCAGCCCGCTCAGCTCTGTTGAAATGCTCTCCAGAAAATCACATCCTTTTCCTCAAGACTCACAAAACTGGATCAAGCACCATAGCAAACATCATGTTTCGTTACGGCGATTTTAGGAATCTCAGTTTTGTTCTCCCATCGTTTACAATGTTGGGATGGCCACATAGATTTCATCTCTTCTTCGCCCATCACTCCATCAGCGAAACTCCGAACATTTTATGTAGCCACGCAAGATTTAACAAGAGGCCCATGAATCGTCTTTTTCCCAAGGAATCTAGCAAGTATATCACAATTTTAAGGAATCCTGTCGACAACTTCGAGTCTGTTTTCAACTACATGGAGCTTGGAAAGCGCATTGGTTTAGGTAACAATCCAGATTCATTACAGCTCTTCCTTGAACGCGGTGGTATTCCCTTCACGATGATGCGTAAAATTAATTACGAATGGCTTTTAGTCAGAAACCCTCTACTTCACGACTTGGGTTTGAGCTTTAAATTCTATCAAAACCTCACCGCTGTAAACGAGTATATTCAGTTCCTGGACAAGGAGTTTGATTTGGTAATGATTATGGACTATTTTGATGAGTCTTTAGTATTGATGAAACGGCTTCTCTGCTGGAATATGGACGATATATTGTACTTGAAGTTAAACGATCGCCAAGAAGAGGAAAAAAATGTAGCACTAAACAACGACATTCGGGAAAATATAAAACGGTGGAACAAAGCGGATGTGTTGTTATTTGATCACTTTAACAAGTCATTCTGGAAAAGAATCGAAAAGGAAGGTGACACATTTGAAGAAGAGCTTGCCACCTTCCGACAGAGGGCAACGAAAATCAAGCAATCCTGTGTGACGAACGAAACACGCTTACAGTTCCTTTATGCCGAAAAGTATGTAAAAGGATATAACCTTAAACATGATTTACCGGAAGAATTACGACGTCTATGCGAAAAGATGACAATGAGCGAAAATACGTATCTTAAATACTTGAGAGGAAAACAGAAGAAAAAGATGAGACTAATTGAGATGGGACCACAAAATTATACCGAATTAAGCAGGGAAATGAAGGAGGACGAGGAGACCTGGGACTCGGCAAATGACCTCGTTTACGAACCAGTTAATTTGGCAGTTTGATTTGGCGTTAAGTAATAAGTCGACAAACAATGGAAAGTTTAAAATTTGAGACAAAGCGTTAGAGATAAAGATGGGAAAGATATACACGAGCATGCTCCAGGGGCACGCTCCGGGAGCAAAGCTCCTCCGTGTGTACCAACGATTTCATGGGTATACTTCATCCTCGGGAGCACAATTTCCACCCTGCAAAATGCTCCACGATATTGAACAGAATAAATGTTTGGGAGCAAGCTCCCGGGGCAAATTGAGCGAACTTGAAAACGCTCCCTCGTGTGTACTGACACGTGCAAAATGAGCCTGGAGCATGCTCCGGGAGCAAAACCCCTCGTGTGTAAATGCTCAACGAAACAGTAATTTTACTGTTCGTGTACGGAAACAAGAGGGGCCTTGCCATCAATCTATTGGAGAATCTTTTTGAATCAGCTCTTGACATCTTAATGCACTCACAATAAACGTATCAGAGTACAAAACATCCCTTTAAGTCACACAGCTGCAAAAAGTATACTCCTAATACAGAAAAAAGGAAGGATAATTAAACTCAATATTAACACTAAATATAATATCACTCTAATGGTATATACAGATTACACAACCTTTCGGCCGGTCGAAGCATAGTTAATTTAGGGGCCGACCATTTGTCCTTTGAAGGGGGGTGTGGGTGATTTGGTTTGTGTACGAATTTTTGTTTTTCTCAACCCTCTGGTGAAAGAATTCTTTTTCCTGACATACAGNTACACAACCTTTCGGCCGGTCGAAGCATAGTTAATTTAGGGGCCGACCATTTGTCCTTTGAAGGGGGGTGTGGGTGATTTGGTTTGTGTACGAATTTTTGTTTTTCTCAACCCTCTGGTGAAAGAATTCTTTTTCCTGACATACAGTGGTGTAAGTTTTTTTCCCAGCATTATACGACATGAAAGATATTTTTTTCGCCAGGTATTTCCTTGCAAGATTTTTTTCCCCTCGAAATCAGTCTGCAGAATATATTTTTTTCTGAGTCACCCATACCCCCCGTCTAAAGTCAAATGGTCGGCCCCTTATCTAGAAGTATTGTTCCCAGCCAAATTAAGGGCCCTAAAAACTATGTACAGTTGCAACATCTACATCCAATCGAGATTTAATGGAAGGAGTATTTGCAAAAATTTCAAATTCTATGCTGACGGCAATGCGGCCGGTATCATTTAATTTTCATCGGCTTTGCTTACACACTATAATATTCGGCTTATTAGTTTAATCCTTGGTCAACTTAACCTTCTTTCGAGGAACCAGGCCCTGGTAGCTTTTCACTGGACTAAATTACAAGGAAACCCTGCTCGAAGAAAATCTTTCGTTTTACTGCCCGGAGTCTTTGTTGTATTAGGGAACCACGGTCAATCACTGTATACGAAGAGTTTTCGACAAATGTTTCTCTCTCACGGCTATCCACATATAATATTAGATGCCAATAAATATAGTCCCGCATGCAATATTCTACTGGTGCATAGCAGCATACTAACCGCCATTTTAGTGAACTCCAGGTTGGTAACCCTCGATTCAAATATAAATTTGAAGCAAAGGTTTTGCGTGTTAAGTTGTCAGTGTTCCTATCACAGACAGGTGTGTCTTGAAAAAAAAAAGGAGTCTATGTAATTTTTCCCCTCCCAAGGGGGTTATTCACTACCAATAAGCATTAAGTCTTTTAGCAACTTCCTTCACCAAATCATTGTGGTTTGCATACAACCGTAGTTCATGTGAGACATCCATCCATCTGACATTTTTGGCATCATCACCAGCTTTGAGCGCAAACTTTTCAAAGGCTTTTCCTGTGTCGTCATGGTAATTAACTGCTTGGCTTTCCATCCAGGAATTATCTGTGTTCCTAGGATCATCTATGTAGCCTTTAAAAATCTTAAAAACAAGGAAAAAACCCAAGAAAACCCTGAATATCAACCTCTAACGAAATGGTTGAAGATCTCTAGACATTTGTCACATATTTCGTCCTAGTTTAAGTTGTTTTTCTTGAAAAGGTATGCCACTCCCTGCCACAAAAAATAATTCACTAATCTTTCCTAACATGCACGTAATTTATATTATCTTTCTATTTCACATTTTTTTGAGCTTTTAGATTTCAGGACTTGAACTCGTTGAAGTATCAGACACAACGATGTATAGCAAGGCTGTGCTCTAAGGAAAATTGAACGGAACCCAGTGCCCTAAACCTGTAAAATCTAGAGGAGCCAACATTGTATGGAAATTAAGATTTTCTACACGCCCGAGGGCAAACGTTGGGCGTCAGACGCCACCTACGTACCACCTAGTTCTGATAGAGCTCATCTAATTCTATGTAGAGTATTTTTTGTTGTTGTTGTTCTGGACAAAAGTGACTGTGCCTGAACTGTGGAATGTGGCAACCTCTAAAAATAAAATTCCTTGACTTCTCATTTACTTCCTTTTTTGATTATCCCTGACCTTTTGCAAACCCCCCTTTTCCCCTTCGACTTTTCCCTGTCTCTTCTACCGTCCATGGCAACCCTGTTAAAGCTGCTCTCTTCGCTACTGGAGCTCTTACAACCTTAGTTCCTGTAATAATCAACACGTAATTTTCATAAACTTTCTAAATTATACAAGACGTGTTGTTACCACAGTTCCATGATGGAAGAGATCATCCAATAAATCATGAAGCCGTTTATTCTCCTCTGGCGTAAGTTCAAGAGAATTTAATGCTTCCTCGCCAAATTCCCTCTTGAGCGTGTACGTAACGGGTTCACCAGGATCAACCATTCCCTAGCACAAAATACTACACTTATCAGCCGAACACTTAACAGGAACAGAAAGTAGAGGTATACAGCACTGAAAGAATCGCATGACCATCGCAATGGGCACGCTTACAATCTCCGCAACAGTGAACATCTAAACCTGCCAGGATGCCGGACAGCGGCTGCCCAGAGTGGCTTCTTTTATCGGGCAGCAAAAGCGTGGAATAGTCTCAGTAACAACACTAGAACTGCCCGATCATTAAGATCATTTAAAAAGCATGCAAAGGCAGAATTAATGAAGAAATAAGATACCGGTATACATACCATAGTATATTATTACTTTGTTAGTTAACATTAGAAGTAGTAATTTTAAGTTGTTATTTATATATCAAGAACATGTATATCATTAGTCTTAGTTGTATTATATACATATTGTAAATTAATTCTGAAAAGCCCCTCGGGGAGAATTAATAAAAGTATTGTGTTGTATTGTATCGCTTTTACGGAACGTTAGGTTTTAACCCAAATCCTGTGCGCAGAAGCCTGAAAACGAGGAAAAAAGGGAAACGGTCTGACCGGGCCATCTTGGGAGCTCTTTCAAACAATGGATTCAATTTATTTTAATTTACAGTTTTGAAAACAGTGGAGTAGCCTACTAAGAAGACTGAAAAACGTCTGGAGATAGAACAAAAACAGAATGGGAATGGTAAAGTTGCCCTAGCCTGTCTACACGCACTTCACGAACGAGCTGTTCCTCTCCCTTGTCTTGTGGTCTGTCAGTCTGAGGGTGCATATCATTTGATAGAATTGGTTGATTAGACCAGTTCAGTTGCAAAGGGAATTCTACTATTACATCAGGACTTAAATGTCAGATCAGCATATTACTAAATCCCCTGCACGGCAGTAATAGCGAAAATTTTGAGAAAGGATTAAAATTTCATTTTCAAAATGACTGGGCAGGCTGGCCAGTGTAGACTTCTGGAAAGATCCCTAAGACAACTATTAGCATTGATGTGTCCACAACAGACTGGAATTGACCGGGTAAGAGTGGTGTGCCTGTGCCCACCAGTTCTATTACTTTTTTTAATACAAAGTCAAGAATGCTGTAGCACTAAAGAAAAGCTTATCTATTAAAAATGCATAAGTTATCTAAAGTTTGTCTCTCCCATTATATTGTAGACTTCACAGAGGCTTACTTTTTTTAGCAAAGACACTAAAAACAAATAAAAGTGTTCTCGAAAATGAGGATTTTTATTGCCTTTGCTAAAAAGGTAAACCAGTCAGTACAGGATAGCCTTGGTAGCCATCACTATCCCTTGCATTTAGTTTCTGATTGTTCACTTACCCCTGGAAGAGCCCATTCTGAGCAATCTGTTCTCTGAACTGCAACAAATTCTAAAACTGGTTTTCCATCTTTGTGAATTTTTTCTCCAGAGCTGTCCCTTTTCCATCTGAAAGAGAACACACCTTAATCTTATACCTTAAAGATATGGATAAGAATATTTGGTACATACCATAAAATTATGTACAAATTAGTGCTGTCTTTAGCCCCCCCCCACCCCCCCCCCCCCCCCTCACCCCCCCCCCCCCCCCGACAACCACACAAAGACCCAAAACCCAACCCCCCCTCCCCCCACCATAACTGCTCCACAACAACAATATAGGGTCTGCTAGCCGATTTTTTGGCCACGCTCGCCAGCCCCATTTGCCCCTGGAAATTTTGCCAAAAAACTTGTTTTGAAGCTCGTCGAGCGGTTTTCTGGTCACTGTTGTGCTATAGAGAGCTAAAACCTACCATAAAGCCATTTACAGGTCGTACACTTCGCAGCGTTCTGATCCAGATGCAAAATAAATAGCTTGTGAAGTTCGGGCATGCACAGAAAGCAAAATTTGGGTTTAAAAGTGACACAGTAGTCTTGACTTAAGGCCTAGGTAAATTTGATAATGAAATAAGTGCCCCCTGCACACCCCCTTTCATAAGTGTCGCCTATGGAGTCACAAAATTTAATTATAAGTGCCCAAGCAACTTTTTTTAGCATTTACAATATTATATTTACCTGAAGTGAGTTCTAAACCACCCCTGGACAGTGAACACGTCCCCTCGCAAAAAGTCTTTTTGCCTGGAGAACAGGTAAATAAAATTATTATATACCTTGTAACCAATGGATCAGCAGCATGGTTGGGACCCCATTTTCCAAGCAATCCTCTACCAATCATACCAGTCCTACCAACAGGATTCCTTTAAAACAAACACTTTTTATAAGTAAAATCCAATACATTGTTCCAGAAATAATGAATACTCCTGAAACTCCCAATCACCCTTCTGTATATTCTATTTTGGCTTCAAACTTTCCTTTAAGAATTTTGGCCTTTAGGAGAGGGTGTCAATGGGGTACAGCTGTAGCCAGTAAACAGCTAAAAAAACACTAGTTAGTCAGTAAGCACACAGGCAGGCCAAACTGAGGCCCGAAGGGCCTAAAAAAATGTTTTGGAGACTGAGCCCCCCCTTATCTCAGGGTCTGGACGACCGTTCTCCCCCCCCCTTATCTGAAGGTCTGGATTGGCCACTGTTTCCATACACTTTTGTACTCTCATTTGACCTTGCAGTGTCTTTGTTAAAGCTGCCTAGTAATCATCCTCGGAGACCCAGGGGCAGATAGTGGGGGGAAGGGAAAGTCTAAACGGGTGGAAAAATATGGCACGAATTAAAGTAAAGAATGGCGAGAACAGCCCCTGGGGACAATGTCTTACCAGACCAGTTCCAAACGGTCACCGCTGTTCTGTCTTCTGAGTGGGCAGAAAAACACAAAAGTTTTCTGGCACCAATCAGAAGTCAGAACAGCAGCGACCGTTTAGAACTGGTCTGGTAAGACATTGTTCCCAGGGGCTCTTCTCGCCGTTCTTTACTTTTCTTCGTGCCATATTTTCCCGCCCGTTTAGACTTTCCCTTGCCTCCACTATCTGCCCCTGGGTCTCCAAGGATGCCTAGTAATGAAAGAGGCACATGACCTAACCTTGGGACTCCTTGTATGACTTCATACTTTCCTGTTAAACTTCTTCTATCTGTTTTGTAGTAAGTATCAAGGTCATTATATTTGAGGGCCTCTTTCACTGGTCCAGAGCTGTCAGAGAAATGACATCCACTTTTTAGATTTATTTCTGAACAAAACTATTCAAAAAGTAAAAGATTGCATGGTTTAGAATCAAATGTATAACTAACAGTGGGCCAGCAGCTAGTCAAGGTTTTCAAATCACTGAATGATCAATTGTTCGATCTGCATTTGTTTCATCTCTGGATGTATATTTTCATGGGTAGATAAAGTGATCTAGGTTTAGCGATTAGGATAGGAGACAAAGAATATAAATGTATTGCTCATAACGCTATGACTATTAATTTTAATATTTTGAAAACCTTGACTGGCAGCCAGTCATATAGTCATGTGAAGCCAAATATAAATTAAACCATTACAATGGAACTCAGGGTGGATATGGGGGTTAGGTTTAGGGTTCCTTGGGTGGCTGAACCCCCATTCAGCCCAGGAAACCATTTTACTCTCTATTTTTTGAGGTGACCCTCTGCAATCATAATCCTTGATCTGCCTGTGATGGAACCTATATTAGCCCTTGAAGTTCCGATATCCACATGCACTTTTAATTTCTACACACTGATCTCCATACATTCCTTGAAGAATAAGTTGAGAGAATTTGGTAAAAGACCAAGACATTTCACCTTCAGTGATCATTCTATCATTTCTCAAGACCTTTTTTCTTGATTATGTATAAATAGTGTTGGGAGAAAATTGATGCTGATCACTCTTGAGACCATATTGTCCTATGGCCACACTGGTCCTAAGAAGAACCTTCTCACCTGATGTCAGGATCAGCCCAGGGAGGTTTTTCAAGCACTTTTTGTGCTGTGTAAACCACAGGTTTGTAATCTGGAAATGAAACCTTCCAGTCCACAAATTCAGCAGGAACTGGGAATCTTGTTACATTTGTGCAAGGATATTCCAGTGAACAGGCTTTGGTATGCATTCCAATATGACACTTGGCAATACTTCCTGACAAAAGAATAACAAAAGTCTTGCATTTTTGTAACGGGCTTGCATGCAGTTTTTGCACCATTACTAAAAGAAATAAAAACGAAATAATAACAAAAAAATAGTTATTATCTAATAATTTTTTGAATAACAGCTTTGCCATTACGCCCTCACAGATGCTAACATTGATTAGCAAACTAAGCTGCAATTAATTGTGACTATAAAACAATGTCATTTCATTTTCAAAGGGACAAAGAATATTACTGTCTTTGAACAGAACCTTCACTTTGTGTTGAGCCCTCACTGTTGAACACTCCTTCTTCAGTTATCAGGAGTATCCAAAATGTTCAGGGTTTCAAGCAGGCTCTAAAGACCTTTTTATTTTGTTTGACATTTGCCCAGAAAACCAATTCTTGTACAGTCATTGCGGTGTCTTATTTTCATTTTCTCTAAGTGTACTGTTTGTTATATGCTAGAGGTTGTCAGCTTTTATCAGTGTTTTAGAATATATATATATATATATATATATATATATATATCTGTCTGGATTTCATACAAGGTGCCTGTACTGAGTCTCTAGAAGGTCAACTTGAAGGAGCCATTACTCACCCTCCCCACCCATGAAGCTTATGAGTAGTCAATCACTTCCCCCAAGCTCTGCTAGTAGTGTTATGATTATGAGTCACCACATTGACTTGGTTGGCCTAGGCCACAGGAAAAATTCTCTGACTTTGCACTGCTTTCTGACATAAAACTCTAACCAAAGTGACAAAATCTCCCCTGCCTACCCCCCTGGTTTTCACTCAAAACAAGGAAGTCACCCACCCGCGGATAGGTCTGGGCCAGGGCTCTCAGCTGACACCTAGCAAGACGGCAAGCCCCCTGGTTTTCTTCCGGCTACACTGGCTTGAACACAGGCGATGCCGGTGTTCAAGCGAAAACTTGGCGGGCACCTTTTAGCAAAATCACACAGATATATATATATATATCTAGTTTTAGAGGCTGATAGGCATGATGGATGGTTTTATCATGTACATGTTTTACAACGAATTTATATTTTTTTTTTCAACTAGCTCCTATGCTTTTAGTCTAAGAATTTCATGTATGTATTTGGTGAGGAACTATAATTACCCTACTGCAGTTTTTTTTTCTTTTGTGTATAGGTTTTTTACAAGATTTTAAATAAAGTTGTTTATTAAAATAAATAAATAAATAAATAAATAAATTTATTATTATTATTATTTGAACAATAGTATGCATTACTCATGCTGAGAATAAGGACATCAGCACCAAAAAATTGGTTCACAACTAAATGAATTATTACACAAGGTTCTGTTGGAGAGTGAAAATTTTTGTTGATGATCACAGACACACTAACAATGCCTGGGGTGGACATACATGTGCCTCTCTATAGGTAACTAAGGACGTCGCTTTCATAGCACATATTTTCCGTCCAAGATAAGTGGTTTAAAACTAAAGAAGGAGACCTGCCGGTAGCTGATTGCTGCCAGCCTTGTCTTGTGTGTGTGACTAAGTTATCATTTCTCTTGAACTTCGCTTGAACATTTTGGTTCAAATCTGTATTTCGGAGTAAACTGCAGCCGCAGTAATGTTCATCTGTCTTTCTTCTATTGAGTTTAAAATACCGATGCTCAGGTTTCAGTAACAACCACTGCCACACAAACAGAGGGTGGTCTGCCTGTGCTCAAAGCAGCTGTCATGAGTCAAGAGATGACGCCCGTCATAGTGACTGGATATGATGAATGATGCATTGCAGCTGTCTATGTCATATAAAATACTCTAAGAACTTGAAATAATTACCTAAAACAATAAGATACTTTTACAAAGTTCGTTACCTCCAAGCTGTAGTTATAAAAGTAATTCAAGAGGCTATGAGCAAAACTGTTTGATTTACTACATCTTGTAACACATTTTACGACACAATACTTTAGAAACTTCATTAATGCTTGAGCCGTTCATCTAATTAAGGCCACGGCACATCAAATTAAAAAGCCTTCCGTAAAACAGGATATCTATCATTTACCTCCATCTGATGATTCTTGCAAATTTTCCAGCGGTCAATAGTCAAATAGTTTGTTAAATTAAAGGCAGTTTGTAAATGCCATAAAAGAGGAGGCATTAACTGTCTCATTTGGCAAAATGTTCCCCCTCTTATTTTTTCTTGGAAATTAGGAGTATTTATAATAATCAGTGAGAGCAAATGGAACCTAACAAGCTTGGTTACAACATGACGGTCATTGAGAACGTTCGAAGCACTACAGCAAATGAGACTGAAAAGCTGCAATTTGAGAAGCAATACTGTCGGATATTATGCTACAAACCGAAAAGTTTATTTTAAGCTTAACAATAACACCAAAACAGATCGAAAATAAAACCTTGGTACCGTCCGCGCGCCAACAGAAAAAAAAAACAGTTTTTAAACTCACCGAGTTGATTCTTGACGAGGGATGAAGCGGCCACAAAAGCGACGACACCTACAGGGACTTTAACAAATCCACGTAGGAACATAGAGACTTATGGCTGGTAACAGTCATACAGTCAAATAAATTAAATCACTTTGTCTAAACTATAGGTGAAGGAAAACCTTGTAGTTCCCGAACCTCACGGCGGCCGAGCCTAGCGCGCCCCCTTACCCTTTTGTTAATACAAGTCGCCCCACCGGTCCCATTCCAGTCCCATTTCTCAGCGACAAACCCAACAGTCCCCGGTGGGGAGGAATTTGTTCTTGGTAGTCCCGATTTCAAATCCTCGTCCACGCTTGTAAAATAGCCAACTGGTTCGCCTCCTACCAGTTGAGACTTTTAACCATGTTATGTTCCTGCATTTTAAATTATTTGTTTCATCATCCCTGAAAAGCCACAAAAGGGGAGAGGATAATTAAAGTATTATTATTATTTCATTATTCATTAGAAAAAAGAATGACATAAATAACTGTGGAAAAATTTCTCACAAAATTCTATCCCTGACCTTTTTCTCATTTAGGGGCAATTTTAGGTGTTAATCCGACCATGCAATTATTTGTCACTTCCCTGCTACCCTATGTCTGAAGGACTTACTTGAAATATTTTACACATTCCAGCTACAAGAGAACATTGTAGTAAACTATTTTGAATTTTAGCATAAACAATCATGGGTAACAAGGAGGGGGCAATCTTTCAAGAGAAATGTTATGACCGATGATACTAATGATACTAATAATATAACTTATGCAGTAATCATTCTTAAATACAATTGACAGTAATTACAGGTACAATTAACCCGACTTTTATACAATTTACCGTGTGGTCTGTCCAAGCATCGTGGTCCCTATATACACACTACAGAATGATGACAGATAAAAAAAGAAAGGGTGATGATAATTGGAAAATAGATCATAATTTATTGTGATACTCAGTTCATGTCTCATTAGGGCCATTTATACCAGGAAAAATAAGACGCGTCTTACATAAGACACGAACTTTCAGTATAAACGGCACATTTCGTCTAAAATAAGACACGGCTTAGCTAAGACGCGTCTTATTAGATAAGACATGCTCGTATAAAATTAATGGTAAGACACGTCTTATTTTTCCTCGTATAAATGGCCCTAATGTCTTCCAAAAAAATAGCTGCATTTCCAATCTAGAACCCAGATCACACTGTGTTTAGTTTGACTGTGGAAGGACTGGGTGGAAGATTAACTGGAACTGCCACAAATGACATTCAGCTTTGACACCAAAACATCAAGTTTCTTTTCTATTCCATCTAGTCTGTGCTCCAAGCTTTCATTTAACTTCAAAAGATCACTGGTCTTTGTTGTCATGGCAACCTTTTTTCTCCACTTCCTGAGGCCTGTTAAAGTGAAAGCAACCAAGACGGTAATGGCAGCAGGTATGGGTTTGTTGGATACAAGGGAACCCATCCACATACAAACTCCAATGCAAAATGCCAGTCTGTGCAAGCACCAGACAGGACCAAAAAATGCATGTACCAGGAAAGTGCTGGACATCAGAAGAAAGAACTTGTTGTAGGACATTCTGGAAATACAAACAAGGCCTGTGATGATCCAAACAAGAAATAGGATTAATGACAAAAGTTTATTCCTTGCTGATCCNTTAGTTTGACTGTGGAAGGACTGGGTGGAAGATTAACTGGAACTGCCACAAATGACATTCAGCTTTGACACCAAAACATCAAGTTTCTTTTCTATTCCATCTAGTCTGTGCTCCAAGCTTTCATTTAACTTCAAAAGATCACTGGTCTTTGTTGTCATGGCAACCTTTTTTCTCCACTTCCTGAGGCCTGTTAAAGTGAAAGCAACCAAGACGGTAATGGCAGCAGGTATGGGTTTGTTGGATACAAGGGAACCCATCCACATACAAACTCCAATGCAAAATGCCAGTCTGTGCAAGCACCAGACAGGACCAAAAAATGCATGTACCAGGAAAGTGCTGGACATCAGAAGAAAGAACTTGTTGTAGGACATTCTGGAAATACAAACAAGGCCTGTGATGATCCAAACAAGAAATAGGATTAATGACAAAAGTTTATTCCTTGCTGATCCAACCTGATCTGGCAGGGCTGCTCCTGCAAAAACAAAGGAGACAAATTTTTGTGATATCCTGCAAGTTGATGATCTGGAACAGGAGTTAGTCCACTAGATGGAAAGTGAGATATTCATATAGGGTTTCATATTTTCCTGAAAAAGACAAAGCTGTCCAAGGTTCTTTTCATTATATCAGACTGACCAGTCAGAAACCACAGGAACTTCTATCGTAGAAAAATAGAGTGACATTGTTCGATTGAGAAAATTATTTCTAACTGAGCTGAATCATTCTATTAAAATTTTGACTAACATTTTGAATACTTCTTAGTGAAGTGGGACTGGCCATGAGAATTTTTGACAACAGAACAGCCAATTTTTATCAGACAAGACCGACAGAGAGAAACCTTCAGGACGTGGACCACTTATCCCAGAATTTTCCACCTGTACCAAGTTCATTTAATTAATATGCTATTGGACAAAATTTTCCAGCAATTTGGGCATAATAGAAAGTACCCCTGAATTCACAATGGTCAAAATTAATACCTTTAGAAGAGATGGAATAACTTAGGATCTCAGTAACAGAGACTCATTTTATCACATTTGTCTAAAAATGATGATATGCAAAAGTATTCAACTGACAGTAAAAAATTATAGAAAATACATTAAACAAATCACCTTTGCTTTCTATAGCTATATACAGCTGTATTCTTGGCTTATTATCCTTTATATTTCCTCTTACCTTACATATCCTTTTTTGATTGGCTCAAAGAACTGGCAGCATTTTATTAACCTATGAAACCCCAGCACCAACATGTTTGGTGCTAACAATTCTTTCAGATCAATGAGTGATTACCTAGTTACTATGCAAGATTTTGATAGGGGAGTCACATCAGATTCAGTATTGGATCTGTACAGTCCTTACCATCTATACCAAGAAGCTGTTGTAGAATTTCATCAGTGTATCCCATGCCGTTATTGTGGAATGCAATCAGGGCATCCGTGATAACTTTAAACACATTTCCGACTGCTGGTTGTATCAAAGTAAATACACTACTAAACAAGCCAGTGAGAATAGTGAAGCCTTTCTTGATATCTTCAAGCAACCTTTCGGTGCAGTACTTGTGTAGGCCCACGGCGATTTCTTCAACCAGATCAATAACTGAAGGCAGCCAAGAGCGAATGAGCACATTGCCAAGAACGATTTGTAATTTCGGAAAAAGAGTTGCAACGTTAAAGGCCGCACAAATCAAAATTAAAGAAATCGCAATTTTTGACAGTCCCATTTCTTCTGTTAGTAGTTCTAGCGGTCGTACGAGATGAACCGTTAAAAAGATGCTTCAACGATGGTATGCACTGTACGTGAAGTGAAGTCGCGCGAAAGACACTTTAAAATTTCCCGCAAAAACAGGCTCATGCAAACATATCGATAATTGGGCGAATCAACTTATCTTTGTTGCGTTGATTGATTTTTTTGAGACAGCTAAAGCAACAACGCCATAAATAATATCATGCCTTTGGCAAAAATTTCTGAAGCTTGCAGGTACCTTGTCAATAGGTCACTGCCTAGACGGAAACTACGGCGTTGCGTGACATAATATTTCGATGGTTGTTTTTCATGAAGTCATATATTACGTTGAAAATTTCCACTGATTCTGATTTCCACTGAGGGCTCGGCTCCGATGACTGACTTCACTTAAAAATAAAATCCGAGGAATATTTCGTTTCGTTTTTTCGGTGAAATTACCTATGTGCGGCCCAGAAATACAGGTTCAATGTCCATTTCCCTGGTAGTATTCAGATTTGAAGTTCCCGACGATTTGCCTTTACCGCAGGGCTTGGACTATTGTGGTTAGTATTTTTATTAGTTTTACCCTTTTCTTGTTTCTGTTTATTTACATTCATTTCTAACCGGCACTCGGACCACGGAGATCCCCGACTTCATTTCCATTTTTTGAGTTATGTTATTACATGCAAGATGAGGTTAATTTTCGTTGGCTTTACGACATGACTCTGGCACTACAAGGCCATAAAATTAATATTTTGATGTTAAAAACCATATATAGTTGATATATTGACATAACATCAGTGTCTGCACGTATCTTGACTAAAATAGCAGAATGGGGGGCTTTGTGACCATGTATTGATCAGCATATCTGTAGTCTACCTGAAAAGTATAAAGAGTTTCCTGCCCCCTCCACAGTCTTTTCCAAGGCTTAGTGGGGAGCATGGAACGAGCAAGAAGTGTGAGTGATGCTGGAGACAAGAGAGAAGTGCAAGAGGGGTATGATGGAAACGAGCGCAGAGCGCTTCCTGCTTTCCTCAATAATTAACTCAAATATCTCCAAAAAGTGATCGTGAGTGACTGGGAATGAGCCACAGGAGATGCCCTGTTTTTCGATCTCATTTTTGTTCAAGAGTTTCCTACACCCCCTTCCCCTCCCCCCCAACACAGCTACATGTAGCTGTTTTCCCAACCTGTGCCCTCTCTCAGTGGGGGCAGGTACAGCTAGCTACATGTGTTCTACCCTTAATCCCTATCTCAAAAACTGCTTAGACTATACTACCAAATATTCCTGAGGCAGGTTATTTTGTATGAGTATAATGCTAGATATCTTTCTTTACATGACTACAAATCCCTTCAGAGTGAAATTTCAAATTCAAAACAATCCAGCTTCACCCCATCAGGATACCTACTCCCCTGGAACCATGGCCACCATGAGATATTTAGATTAATGGGGTGCATCAGTTGAGATGACTGATGTGGCTCTAAATCTTAAAGGAAGGCGTCACATTGGGATGCAGGACTAGTACAACATCACAGTAGTTTTTTGGCACGAGATATTTCATAATACCATGTGTCTAGTACCTAGGATATAGTAGTTTTACGGTAGACAGGAATACCACGACTGTAATAAGGGTTACAGACGGATTCTAGTTTAGTCTCATTCTCTCTTGGCATCGCAGTAGCAACATTCACTTTTATTGCACTAGCAATGAAACTGCCCACCTACCCCTCCCTTAAGCCAACATTAACACTTACTTCTCATTTAGGGCAAAATGTTGACTTAGGGGAGGGGTAGGTGGGCAGTTTCCCTAAAACCTAAATTGATCCAGATATTTGCTAATAGGCATAGGGTAGTGACCTAACTAGTCCTTTTTATATTTTGTGAATATTATATGCTAAAAAAAAAAAATGTTTAATAATTTTCTCGGACCAAAAACAGAGGTAGGGCAAGGGTTATTTGCCAGATTTCATTTCAAATGTTGAGGTAGCTCTAAATGTAAGACGAAGTTATAGATAAAAAGCTTATATTAAACACTACGTATATTAAAGTGAAGTTATGATATTTTTGGTTTCCTAATCATTGGTATTTTAGCCCCAGGGTTTAAAAGCACTAGTCAAGAAATGTCTGAATCAGATTCAGCAAAAGGTAAAGGAGAGAATGGAGAACGAGAGGAAAAGGATTCAGTGTCCTGTGAAGAAAAGATGAAAGTCCACAGGGGAGAAAGATATCTGCATGACATTCAACTTGAAACGATGGTTAGAAGTAGTATTGGTGAGAATGAGAATAACTCTTGGTACAGCTAACAGCCCATTGTGCCTCTTAAAGGAAATAATAATAAATTATAGTCTAAAACTCAACCTTGATTTATTGCCAATGACTTTAAATCTGATGAATCACAGCTGAATTTTAAACTCTTATTTCCTTTGAAAAATAACAAATATACCTAGATTTTTTAAAAATGGATAAACCACAACAAAAGTTTGTCCAGCCTTTTCTAGATATTAAAATGTTTTATCCTGGCAAAATTTTTTTGATTGTGCTTCATGCTTTGACAATATTTGAGAAAGTATACTTTCTTGCACGCTTATTGTACTATATTTTAGAATAATTTCCTTTACTTTTAATATATTAAAACATTAAAATATTCATAATGAATCATACAACATACAGTGTGAATACATTTATTTTGATAAAATCTTTCTTAAAATGTATAATCTTTTCAAGACAATTCTATGGAGGAAGGTGTTAAAGATGCACTTGATAAAGATGAGAGGGCAAATACAACCAGTGATTTTCAAGGAAAGATAGCATTCTTCTGCGGAAATCCAATGGTTGAAATAATCAAGGGCATTATTCACATCTATAAAAACAAGTAAGTTGAGATGCAGCTACACTTCACTCAAGAGTATGAGAATAATAATTATTATTGTCACTCTCTCAGAACCACTTAACTGCTGAGGATCGCTGATTTCAATGTTTACACAAACAAAAGGTCTCTTATGGGTACCACTGAGTTTTTTGCTTACATTTTTTTCGAAAACAGAGTAAAAACAAAATAAGTTCAAATGCTAAAATTCAGCAATTTTTGAGCATTTTTATTTTTGAACCACTTACGATAGTTTTGCACAAAAGCATTCAATTAATGACCAGGATTGATCAATTCGCTTTGAAAATTCAAAAGGCAAAAAAATATCCCTGGTGTGAAACGTGGAACCCCAAAAGATCCACTGAATCAAGAATGACCCCCCTCTTATCCTATTTTCTATCACAACCTTACAAGTGCCATTAATGAGTGCAGATATTATACCAATTTACCAGGAAACTTTGAATTCATTTTGCCTCCCAAAATCCCAAATTGTTCATTTCAATCCCAAATTTAAAATTTCCTTTAGTACTCTTGTTACTTTAAATCTGGAGTAGTCTTCCTTTTGGGACTTCCCCCCATTGCTGCTCTCGCTCGATGAAAGGGACATATGTATGCATCCTTATTCCAGGTGTGGAAAGCAAATTTTGGGAGGGTTTGATAGTTGAAAGAGGCCCTGCCAGGGTAAATTCCGACAAGCAACATGGCCCAAAAAGTAGCGAAAGCGCGTAAAATGAAATCGCGACAAGAGACAACCTCCCTCGGCCAAATTGCGACAGTGACAGCAAAGGCGACAATAAGTGACAAGGGTTTACAAGCACTGACACAAGACGTTTTAAAATTCAGACGGGCGACATGGGACCCCCCCCACCCCTGGCAGGGCCTCTTGAAACCTTTTGCTTTTTTTAAAAAGATTTTTCTTTTTAATTCTTCATCTTCAGTGAGATGACATCCTTAGCTAAAGGTGTTCAGCGGAGTGAGATGATTTGCATGTTAGCTGTACCAGCTAAGATGACTTGTATTGATCTTATGTGCTTTGTGGCTCCTTCTGAGTAAGTTTGTGTTATCTTTTGATGTGAGTCACCAGGAACTGGAAAGTGGGAGATGCAAGGTGATGAAAACTTGCATCAACTCATCTGTGTGTTGAATTGGCTTATGTGGTTAACTTACACCCAGCTTTTCAGATAGAAAATTTTTTCTTTAAGAGTTTCCACCTCCAAGTCAAATGCAACCTAAGCATTTTACCTTTTATGTTTTTTTGCAAATGCAAAAACATAAATACGAAAATAAAGACCGGAAAAGTAAATCCTCACAAAATTTAAGCACGCAAAATTAAATACTCATAGAAAATTCAAATCACATGAAAAAATATTTAAAAAATATTGAAAATTATACCAACATCATATACAGGATATGTATCCACAATATAACTTGTTAACTGGTTACCTTATTATAGAAAATTAACGCTCCTTGAAATTAAGGTATTGAAAATTAACGCGACTTAAATTAACGCGAATTTAATGGAAAACGACTTTCGAATAAAGAAAATTAACGCGAAAGAGGAGGCAGAATTTCATAAAAAGGAAATTAATAAGCTTGTAGTTAATGTTTTTTAGGTGTCAAAAATGTCTGGACAGGTTCCAAAATTGGGGTTAAAATACTGGAAATTAAGAGCGCGGAAATTAACGCTGCACTTAATTAACGTCGCGGAAATTAACGTTCAACATAATTAACGCGACTTAAATTAACGCGAATTTTAACGATTCGCGTTAATTTCATGGAGCGTTAATTTCCTATAATAAGGTATACTAGTAAGCTCCATTTTGTATCTTCAGTAAGTGAAATAAGGTTAATTTGTTAAGCTTTCACACATAATTGCTTTTCCAGTTTAACTAGAGATTTGAAACCTTTCAGACTTTTTAAAAAAATATATGAAGTTGAGAATGTTTAAATCGCGAAAATAAAACCCCGAGAAATACTCTCTCACCAAAATCGCGAAATTAAGAACAAATAAGGTGGGTCAAATTCACCATTTCTTTTATGAGCAAAATTAACCAGAGCCAAGTTGGGTACCAGCCCTGGGGGTACCAGAGGTTTTTTCTTGCATGCAGCAGGATGCTTTGGTGTCGGCTGCAGGATGACAGATCTTTGGCTGAAGGTCTAAGCCGAAAGTGGCAAAGCACGGGTCACAATGAAGTCTTGACCCAGTCTGGACTTAACTGAAACCGGAAGACGCGCATGAAAAGTCTCTGGTAACCTGGCTAGTTTTTCAAAGGACAACTGACGGAACTCTAGAGTTGTTCTCTTGACCACTTACCTGTTTTCTTTGAAATTATCCCCAATTTCAAGTAATTTGGGCTTTGAAAAACTCATCCCTGGTTCTTAGTTGTGAGTTACAGTATTATTCCCTTCTTTATCATCACGCTCCTATCACTGTAGAGAATTTATTGAATGTGTCAAGATCATCAGAGACTCCACACCCAATCAGTACATGGTTCTTGTCAACTTTAGAAATCAGGTAGGCGGCTTTCATCGAGGCTTTAAGCACACAGCTTAATTCCTCCTTGCATTAATGTTAAAAAAGGTATTCTGTTTCATCGCGAAGTCGTACTCATGACACGTTTTTATAGCTAAGAGGGTTTGGGTGAGGGCAAACTTGGTAAAATGGAGTTGCTCAATTTAACTGGGTACTTCTCAGGGCTTCAAAACGTTTGTAAGATAGCTATATATCCAACTAGTGGCAGATATATTAGGTTAGAGTGGATTCTTAGAGAAATGGGTCCAGTACTGTGAACAAATTCAAAAAGTCAGAAAATGTTCCAAATTTCATTTTGTAGAATACTGGAAAATAAATGCTACCATGCGGAATTCTTGCCGAACCGATTTCAATTGATAGGCGATGCACACCAGAGAATTTCATCAAGACTTAAACAGCTGATGTTTCGCGAAGCTACAAACGTTTCCCCACAAAGTGAGGTAATTTCGCGAAGAAACGTTTGATGGCGTCGCGAAATGTCGGCTGTTTTCTAAGGCTACACCTTTATTGGTTAACATAACGTGTGTTTCGTTGTAGGAGCTGGCTGATGAGTTCTACAATACCTTTAATGGTCAGCCTTACAATCTTATAGAGGATGAGGTAAAAAAACGTCATGGCCTGAGCTCCAAAGGAAGAGGTGGAGGTGGTGGAGGGGAGAAACAATAGAAATGTGATGGTTGTGGTGGTGGTGGTGGTGGTGTTTCCCGCCAGAATAATGCGATAATTTTGACATGATCTCGAAAGACCTTTATAGCACTTCCTAGGAACGAGAACGAAAGAAAAATGACATTATAATTCATAGAAAACCCATCGAATCTATACACAAAGTAACCCTGATGTAACTGTAACGTACACCTTCTCATATTTTAGATGAGATGAGAAAATCCAGTTTTTGCATGGTACCTTGCTTGAGAATATTTAGGGGAGTGGATTATTCTAGTATTTAACAGTCATAACACCACTTTTTGGAAGCCGACTCTGCTAGCAAACCCCTTTCTCTTTTCGTGAAGATCAACGGAAACCACATGACCAATCTGTCAAATCAGTGATATATTACCCGCAGATTATAAGGTTGTAACAACCATGACGTGAAACGCTACTTAAGGGTTACGGCTTTGCGTAGCCTGCGAAAGCAGCCGTTTCTCCTCGTTCATCGCCGCTGGGGACGAAACATCGTCAGCGGCGGTGAGCGAGGAGAAACGACTGTTTTCGCAGGTTAGGCTTTGCGTAGCGCCTTATAGGAATAGTAACAAATCCCATTTAAGGTGGATTTCTACTTGGCGTAATTTTTTTGTCTCGTGTTGTTCAACTTTTACGTTACGCGCAACCTTTCATTTGTTGCCTTTACTTTACTTACGCGCGTAAAATTTACTTGCGTACGCACATAAAAGTTACCCTACAGTGGAAATCTATCCTTATACCGTACACTTTCTTTTTTCTCTCTGTTAGGTTTGCCATTTAGTCTATGTAGCCAAGGTAGAGACCATGAAGCTGTCAGAGGTATGAATGAGGTTTGTAATGCACCAATCAAACCACGGTGCTATAAATAGTCCCGCATAGAAAATCGACCATCATACATGACGAAGTCGAAACCGTGATCGATAACTAAGTGACCTCTTTCGTGAAACAAGTTAACGATGAACAAACCCTATCACACACAAACCAGGATGAGCGAGCATATTTCATTATATTTTTAAAATTTATTTTACAAGTCTATTTAGGAACACTGCAGGCGACACAGAGGTTTCGGTAAAGAATGCATGTTTCAAAGGAGACAATGATGTATCTTTTCATGTGTCATTTAAAAGGATTAAAACAATTGAGCTGGTATAGTTCTTGAAGGCACTTGCTGGTATATCGTAAGGAAAATTCGATCTGAAAGTTCATTGATTTAACGTTTTAATTCCTCTGCTGGATTAGAACTGATGTACCGACAGGCGAAATTGAAAAACGTGAAGATAAAAAAAGAATCATATGTTTATTTTTATACCCTTTCTTTTAGCAAAATAATGCTAATTTTCATTCCCATCTAAGCATATCGCCATACAGACATAATGAATAATTAAAATATAATGCATAGTATCTTCGTGATAGAGACTGTGTCTGACAGTCATTGTGGAAAATAGATGACAACTAGGTCTATTCTCTTCAAATCTTTCGACTACATATGCCTCTTGATGTTTAACTGAACCACATCAAAGTTTTAAGTTTGCCTCCGGTTCTTCACATCAGCTCGACTTGATAAAAATACCGCAAATATCACTTTATTTGTTTCTAAAGGGAGCCAGTCTTCCATGTGTCGGTCTAACAGAGCTGCCAAAGTGCCCGGTGTGTTTAGAGCGTATGGTAAGTCTATTTGATTATTCCGATATTAAAAGGTTCTATACACTAAGAACGATCTTCAAGGCCTCTCCCAAAGATTTGAAATTTACTCCACCTGGCTTTTGCGTTTTCGTCTCGTTTAACGCTTTGTGATGAGCGTGCATAAACGAAAACGTAGACATCGGACATTCTGTCTTGATTACACAGAACTATATTTAAATATATTTCGTAGTCATATTTGTTTGTTTGTTTTTTTTTAATTTATACAATCTTTAGAGCTGTTGTAAAATATAACGCAAAATACAGACTAGTGGGGGGCCTATTTGTAGACATCAGCGGGGAATAGTTAAAAGATGTTCATTTCTTAAGAAAAAAAATACTAGGTGGCAGCACCTGTGCGTTGTTTTTAATTTGCATCTAGTGAATTCATTTTTGCTGTTCTTGTGTCAGAATCAAAATGTCACTTTTCTCTTTTGTGATTATCACCTCAGACGGTATTGGTATAGTAATGACAATGTCATTTTTTCCGTTATATTTCCAGGATGAATCTGTTGAAGGAGTTTTAACCATTCTCTGTAATCACTCGTTTCACGGAAGCTGTTTATCAAAATGGTCCGATACGACGTGAGTATTGTGAAGCTGCTTACTCATTGCATATAGGAAAGGTTATGGCAGACAGTCAAGGGGTACATTTCAGCGGCGGGGAGGTACTGACATGTGCGTGGTATGTACCGCTGTAAATAGTAGTGTGGGTGTAAAGCAGTTAAATTTGAAATTGGGTATGCACATCAGATAGTTTTATAACCTGAAAATAGGCTCTCTAGTAAGGGCGAACAGTAGCAAGCAGAGGCGCCAGGAAACCATGAAAGGGTTGCAAAGGGTTCATTTAGAACTAACTAAGTGCTGTTTGTTAATCGATACCTTCTTCTTGTCTTGTTCAGTTGCCCAGTTTGCAGATATTGTCAAACTCCACAGCCTGTGGACGGGAACAAGTGCTTTGAGTGCGACTCTAATGAGGTATAAGGCCGTCTACCAATTTTCATATGTCATATGTCGAACACGAGACAGCGTGTTTCATCACATATCAAACACCGAGAAGACAGCTGATAAAACTATTCTTTGGAAAGTATTTTTGACGATTGTCGATATGTTGCGATGAAACACTGTTTTGAGAGTTAGATCTAACTTCCGGCTCATACTCGGTATAAAAACCTTTGAAACTCACGAGTGACGTAAAACAATTAATACAAAGAAGCCACTGAGAAGTCAACAAAACAGAGCTAAGGAAAATGATAGCTAGAAAACAAAGAAAAACTTCACAAGTTTTTACGCCGAGGATGATGACCCTAACTTCCGACACTAAGTGGCTTTGAAGGATAGTTAAAGGATGTTAGAATGAAGACTGTCTTATCAACTATCCAGGGCGTTACGATGCGCGATGTCCTATAACTTTGGCTTCTTAATTATTCTATTATTGAGTTTTAGGAATGTATCTTAAAGTTTTACCAGCAAAGACTTCTTCTAAGTCTTCTTTGACCTTCTTAAAAATAACAAGACTAAACTAATCGCCTTAAAAGTACATAAACGTACAAAAAAGTAAACATAACATTCAAACAAAGAAACAAGGCAAAAACAACTAAAAGATGTATTTACGGATGGTAGTTTGTTTTAAATATCAGCGACTGAAGTACCCTGCTAGCAGAGTCGCTTCGATCTTTCCTAGATAAGTCGGCAAAGAGGATCTAGGAAAGATCGAAGCGACTCTGCTAGCAGGGTACGACTAAAGCACGTCTTCGTAGCATTTGCCTTTAGTTAATTAATTTTACCTTTTACTTTCTGTTCGTCTTCGTAGAGCCTGTGGATATGTCTCATATGTGGCCACATAGGATGTAGTAGATATCTAAGGTCGCATGCGAAGAGGTTAGTGAGAACAGTCATGACTCTTCAGTTAACTACAGCAGTCGCTCTCTAAGCAAATTCATGTAGCCGGCGATGAGCGCGTGAAAGTCCAATTGACCAATCAGAACTCGAAGGCGGAAGCAAATTCATGTAGCCGGCAATGAGCACGGGAAAGTCCAAATGACCAATCAGAACTCGAAGTAAATTCGTGCACCCTGCACTAAACGCATGCTAGCAAGGAACGATTGGTTCTGATTTAGCTTCTGATTGGTTAAGAAGTTGCTGCATGAAGTTTTGGCCAATCACAAGAGTGGCATTGCAAACCAAAGCTATTTACATGGGCAAACCGGTCGGTTGACGGTTTGGGCAAATGGTAAGAAAGATTCAGGACTGGTAAATTTCATTCTGAAATCGTGTTTACCATTTGCACAAATCTGTTCCTTTTACTGAAAAACGCCCGCGAAAGTCTGAAACTGGTATCAAAGATGGGCTTTAACAAATGGAACACTAATTTCCGTTTGGAACATCCCGTCCGAAATAATAGGATTACCTTTCCAAATGTTTCCCTGCTCCCGGAAATTTTCCACTGGAACGACTCGAAAATCCGTGCTCCATTTACTCCATGGATTTACTTTTCAACCGGATTTCCCAGAGACTTTTGGTAAATGGTAAACAACCAAGCTGAAAAGAATTAGGGAACTGTCCTTTAAACATGATCGTCAAAAATTGTCATGATTGTCAACTAAAGCTCGATCGTAGTGTTGATTGACCTCACTTTGGTTCTCTCTAAGATATAGTCGAGTTTATTTGTTTGCTTTGTAATCACAGACATTTCCAAGAGACTCAACACACGTATTCTTTAGAGCTTGGGACCCAACGAGTATGGGACTATACCGGAGGTACTGTATATTATGCCTCTATATTCCTATTACTTTGGCTTACCATGACGATATGAATTCGTATGATGTAAAGTGTAGCATTCTCATAATCACAGTGACTTTTTAGCCGCCGTTCTGACTCTTCTCACGCTACATCATGCTCTTCGTCGATATATCAGGTAACGCCTTCAGAATCCCTCAATTTGTATTCTTGAATGAGTTTCATTTATTAATTTTGTTTTTGTTTGCAAGGCTAGACTTTTGAAAGAATAAAAAGCAATAATTTCTTGAAAAAGCATTCTTTTACTGCTTTTAATTAAAAAGTGGCTAAAGCGTGTACTTCTTCTTCAGACAACTTTGTACATCGTCTGATTCAGAATAAGACTGACGGGAAACTGGTAGAATATGGGTCAGGACAACAGGTGAGGAGAGCACTAAGTAGAAAATATGTTTATCATAAAAGCGATAAGGTTGAATTTGACATATACCTAATTCAATAAAGGTTGCTTTAACCATTGGTCATTGGCAATTGGGTATTGGGGGAGGTTTTTTTTATCTGCGTCCCCCTCCCCTCCAAAGATGACTTGATTACGGACCCTTAAATTTTTGTCGGCACCCTTTGAAAAATGAAATCCGAAGGGATCCCTCTTTGTCGGCACCTTTGAAATATTTGTCGAAAGGGTCTAAATTTTGTCGGCTTCTTTAAAGAAAAAATCCGAACCCCCCTTTTAAAAACCTGCCATCCTCAGTGGGGAGCGGATTAAAAAATGGAACGTCCCTGGGTGTTAAGGCATACGGAACTCACTGCAATGATTTGCTGGGCTGACCACCAAACAAGAGTTTCCCAGCGCGCTATTGCCTTTTCATTGAATCGGGGATTTGCTGGAACACATTAAGGTGGGGTTTGCATTACATGTGTTGACAAGATTTAACAAAAGCGTACTCTCTTACTTGCAACTTTTGCAGGTTTACCTACTTCTTTTCTACCTAAGAAATTGCGATCTCCATTATACACACTAAAAAACATCAAATTTTAGATCCAGCCTGCGCTTCATGAATAATCGTAGGCAGTCCGAAAGCTCTAAATTACCAAATTCAAGGTGCCCTTCACAGGCCTGGAAATTATTAAGAGCATTCATTGGTGTAGATGGGAGAAACACACGAATTTAGGACAGTGTAAGCATTTTCACTGATTCTCTCAGCTTGTTCCCCAGATAACAGAATTAAAATTTGTCAGCGGAAAGGTCCTTTGGGGAACATTTTCAAAAGATTAATAGAAAGAGTATAGTAAGCGGCTGAAAGCCTGTACAAACATATTGGTATACTTAAAGCTGCTCATAAATCGTGGTATCCGATTCGGCAATGGCGCAAAAGAGGAAACCAGACACACAGTTTTAAACAAGAGGGGATGGCCAGACTATCGTTATCCCTGGTGCGGGACAACAACAGCAACAACAAAGTCCTTAACCATTTTGATGATTCGTCCTCATGTTTCTCACTTTTGTTTTTAGTACACGTACCTTTTAACCAGTCAACTAGAAAACCAAAGGCATTATTTCCAAGAAAAAATTACACAGATAGAAAAAGATGCCGCTGAACAGGTAAATAAAGGGTATAATGTTTTCCCTATTTTGTATCCAAAACTCGGCTTCTTTGTTATACGTAGTCATCTTCCTCTTAACGCACACCTCTTTAAGGCAGATACTGAGTTCCATACGAAAACAGACACAGAGTTAGTAACACGGCGCACTGCTGCCAAAACTGGCGACTTGTCGTCAAAATTTTGTTTTACTTGCTACGGCGACCAAAGAAAATGGTCGCATCTTGGTTTCAATTGAAGCGCTGACGCTAGAAACCCGAAGTATATTTTGCGGTATGCAACGGGTTTTATTTCTCGAAGAGATTGCGGCGCTTCTTGCTGTCTTCACATTTTCCCGCCGAAGAAAGAGACGGGAAAATCTGCTGCTCTTTCACCAAATGTTAATATGTTATTTTTAATGGAAAGTAAAGGAAACTCCGCTTTAGCAACAGACCCACGTTCTGATGAATTGAAAAATTGTCGTAGCAATCGGAAAAAAAGGTCGCTGTCTTTATCAAATCCTTGTGGCCCGATGGAGCAGTTAAATATATCAACAAACATTGCATATTCGCCTTACAGTCTTTGTTTTTCCCTTACTTGAGTTTTTATATTTGGAAACGTTTTTAAGGTGGGTTCAATGGAAGAGCGGACGAAGAAAACGCTGGAAGAATGTAAAAAACTGGAATTGAAACTTTCCGAGGCTGAAAAGGAAAGGAAAAACGTGGAAAAGAAATATGCGCAGGTATTAACTGACCTCCTAACAATGCATTTGCTTTGAAAACTATGCAAACATTCCCAAATTGTAGTTTGCAAACTTTCAGTTAACAATCAGCAACGCTGCTGGTGTTCACGATGAAGGTGATGTTACCATGGTTACACAGGGCGATTCACAACAACGAGTCTTAGCTCAACGCTGTTGCTTTTAACATGGATGCGCGGACGATTTTCAGCACAATTTTTGCGTTGCAAGTTTTTGCATAGGCTTCAGGAATGTTCAACACCAAATAGCGAATTTCGTTCAGATTTTTTCGTGTAACATACGTGTCGTCAATTTTCCGCCGAACGCCTTGTAAGAACCCTTTTTGCCTTCCTTTGTTGTGCTAAAAATCGTCCCGGGTAACACGTCTGTTTTCAACGGATCTCGCGTGCACATTGTGTTGCGCTAAAAATTTTAGTTGTAAATCTTCCCGTGCTTTATTTCCTAAACTTGCAACGCCAACTTACAACTCTGTGTTGAGCTAAAAATCTTCGTTGGGAAGAAGACTTCAGTTTGCTAAACTAGTTACTGAAAAAGAATCTATCAGCTCTGATAGTTGTCACTGAGGTTCGCCACTCGGCGTCAACTATCTTCCGATAGAAATCTTGAGTTCGCCATTTATTGTTAGACTGGGAATATTGGGCTATGTACAGACTTAATGAAAATCAATATAAGTACTTTAGATTGGTGGATATTCTGTAATTTTTGCAGGCTGTAAACAGGGTTGGGAAACTAGTCACTGATCTCAAAGATGAACAAGAGGTTTGTACACCGACTAATTTTTGGACCTTTAAATTGATACTATGTAACATGTTAACAGTATGTCCTAATTTGGCCGGGGGTATTTACCTTCGTAGTGCCCTCCCCTTTCAAAATAGACGGCTTTCAATCTCTTTTCGGATTTAGGGGCGGGCCAAGGGACCGCGTCCCCCCTTTTTTGTGATTTTCTATAACTTTTTTGAATTCTCAGTAAAATAAAACGTATCTATATAGCTAGCAAGTGTCAAGGCCATCCCTTCCTGAATTTTCTGCATCCGCCCCTGGTCTTTAAAACAATCGAAATACTCGATGTGAATAAGTAATTCTATATTCTCTTTTTTCAGCTAAACAGGTGTTTGCGAGACAATCAGAAGTTATTCCAAGAGAAGTTGTCACAAACCGAAGAAAAGTTACAATTAGTAGAAGCTGCGAAGAAACAGGTACTCCTTGAAATCATGTAGCTGATCGAAAACTTTCGAATCGGCCAGACGCTAATCGTTTTTCTTTAATTTTTCGATAGGAAGTCGCTGATCTCCAGGAGCAACTGGCAGATCTCATGCGCCATCTGGAGACACAGCAAGCGATAGCCAGCGCCTCGGAAGAAACAAGACAGGTATTTTAATAAGAACCTTGGTTTTAGCCTGCGAAAGTAGTCGTCTCTTCTCGCTCCTCGTCGTGTGGGACGTAGACGGCTGTTTTCGCGGGCTACCTCGGTTTGGTCTCACGCTACTTTCAATACGACTTGCTTGCGTGTACGTAAGGGCATAATTCTTAGAAAACGTTGAATTGACCAAATAAGTGTTACCGAGAATTACGGACAAAATCACACAAGGTAAATTTAATTGATACTTAAAACACATTTCCACACCACTTGAGGTGGTTTTCACGTTACGCCATCGCCGCCATGCTGGTGGACGGTAAACAAAAGATCGCTCATTAGCTCGCTTTGTTTCTCCACCTGCATTTGTTTATTTCACCATTGTTATTTGTGTCTCCCGAGACTGTATGAAAACCACCAATAGGAAGAATAGGGACAACAAACGAGAATTTATATTTTGATATTAGGTATTAGGGTTAAAAGTTTCACTTAAGTTGTCTTCTTCTCTTACAGGAGTTGCAAGAAGGTCAAGTATTTGTGGGTGAAGGATCAGGTGGTACACACCACACAAAGAAAACAAGGCGAAAGAAACAGTAGAATCGCCTGTCAGACATACCTTAAAGTCAACTGCTCAGTCTTTGCTTACTCAAATCAAAGGAGGTCTTGCTTGAAAGGCGAAGCATAGCCATCATTTTGAGCATTATCAACACAGCCCAGGGTGGGATACGCGCTCTCTTAACAACTGGGACTAAGATATTAATTCATACGTCTATGTGTTTGCATGCAAAGACTGTAAATAGACTAAATCAGGAGCCCATCTCCTGACTAAATCAAAGTATGGAGAAACTTAACAAGGGCGGAGGAGAAGGGTTGTCCAAATTCAATCGCGCAACCTCGTGATCGACTGGGTTACCAAATTCTAGTGCTGAAAATGAAAAAAAAACAAAAAACTTACGGGAAACAGAAGCAAGTTCAGCAGCGCGCAAAATGAATGCTACGCGCGCTGTGATTGGTGGTTGTCCATAATCTATTGGAGTATACCGCTGATGACGTTAAGGCAAACATGTTTTCTTTGTTTTGTCCAACATGGCGCGCGGTTTTGAAAATGTTTGCGTGATAATTTTGGATTAAGCAAGTGAAAGCCCGAAAAAAGTTTAGCTGGAGCTGTTTACAAGTAAGAAAAACGGAGAAACCGAGACAAGAGATTTCTTGGCGACTTAAAAATACCTACACTGCAAGAAATCCTCACAACAGTTGCACTCACCGCTGCGAGAGATTGCGACGTTTTGAATACATTTGCGCGATCACTCTGCTTTGAGAACGTGAACGCCTTGCGAAACGTCTTTAAATTTGAAATTGGGTATGCACATCAGATAGTTTTATAACCTGAAAATAGGCTCTCTAGTAAGGGCGAACAGTAGCAAGCAGAGGCGCCAGTAGATGGGGAGCTAGCCTGCGAGCAAGCTTTCCTGTGGCTCCCAGGGGTACGCAGGCTAACGGGGAGCCGAAAAAAGAAGACAAAGATTCCATCACCTTCTCTTTACACCAAGTTTGACGAGAGCCTTTCACAGACTAAGAGTTCCATTCTGGAATGGATTATCATTTGCTCAAACTCATTCCCAAGGCCACGCCAATTTCAAAGGTGAAATCCCGGAAACGAGCTAGGTCGTTACTTATTGAAAAACGGGCGGTGGGTTTTTTAAGAACTAGTGTCAAATAAGAATACACCGTTGGAAACCATGAAAGGGTTGCAAAGGGTTCGTTTGGAACTAACTCAGTGCTGTTTGTCAATCGATACTTTCTTCTTGTCTTGTTCAGTTGCCCAGTTTGTAGATATTGTCAAACTCCACAGCCCGTGGACGGGAACAAGTGCTTTGAGTGCGACTCTAATGAGGTATAAGGCCGTCTACCAATTTTCATATGTTTTTGTCGAACACGAGACAGCGTGTTTATCACATATCAAAAACCGATAAGAGAGCTGATAAATCTATTCTTTGGAAAGTATTTTTGACGATCGTCGATATGTTGTGATGAAACACTGTTTTTAGTGTTAGATCTAACTTCCTGCTCATACTCGGTGTAAGAACCTGTAAAACTCACGAGTGACGTAAAACAATTAACACAGAGAAGTCGCTGAGAAGTCAACACAATAGAGCCAAAGAAAATAAAAGCGAGAAAACAAAGAAAAATTCACAGGTTTTTACACAGAGGATGACCCTAACTTCCGTCACTTAGTGACTTTGAAGGATAATTAAAGGATGTTAAATTGAAGATTGTTTTATCAAATATTTAGGGCGTTACGATGCGTGATGTCCTGTGACTCTGGCTTCTTAATTATTATTGAGTTTTAGGAATGTATCTTTTAGTTTTACAGGCAAAGACTTTCTTTTCAGTAAGAAATAAGTCTTCTTTTATCTTCTTAAAAATAACAAAACTAAACTAATCGCCTACAAAGAACATAAACATACATACAACTAAAAATAACATTCAAACAAAGAAACAAAACAAAAACAACGAAAGAAGCATTTACAGGTGATAGTTTGTTTGAAAAGTTAGCGACTGAAGTACATCTTCATAGCACTTGCTTTTAGTTAATTAATTTTACCTTTTACTTTCTGTTCGTCTTCGTAGAGCCTGTGGATATGTCTCATATGTGGCCACATAGGATGTAGTAGATATCTAAGGTCGCATGCGAAGAGGTTAGTGAGAACGGTTAAGACTCTTCAGTTAACCACAGCAGACGAGATCAGTGCTCGAAGCAAATTAATCTAGCGGGCGATGAGCGCCTGAAAGTCTAATTGACCAATCAGAACTAGAGGCAAATTCATGTAGCCGGCAATGAGCTCGGGAAAGTCCAACTGACCAATCAGAACTCGAAGCCAATTTATGTAAAAGTCCAACTGACCAATCAGAACTCGAAGCAAATTCATGCACCCTACGCTAAACGCGAAGAAGTCCAATTGTGTACTATTCAGGTATCGAGGCAAATTCTTGTAGCCGGCGCTAAGCGCGGGAAAACGCGGTTGAACGACCAGTGCTAGCAAGGCATGATTGGTTCTGATTTAGCTTCTGACTGGTTAAGAAATTGGTGTATGAAGCTTTGGGCAATCACAAGCGTGGCGTTACAACCACAGCTATTTACATGGGCTAAGAAAAATTCAGAACTGGTAAATTTCGTTCCGAAATCGTGTTTACCATTTGCACAAATCAGTTCCTTTTAGCGAAAAACTGCCGCGAAAGTCTGAAACTGGTATCAAAGATGGGCTTTAACGTATGGAACACTAATTTCCGTTTGGAACATCCCATCCGAAATAATAGGACTACCTTTTCAAATGTTCCGCTGCTCCCGGAAATTCTCCACGGGAACGATTCGAAAATCCGTGTTCCATTTGCCCCATGGATTTACTTTTCCATCGCATTTCCCAGAGACGTTTGGTAAATGGTAAACATCCAAGCTGGAAAGAATTATGGAACTGTCCTTTTAACATGATCGTCCGTGTGATTGATTGTTGATTGATCTCTCTTTTCTTCTCTCCAAGATATAGTCGAGTTTATTTGTTTGCTTTTTAATCACAGGCATTTCCAAGAGACTCAACACACGTATTCTTTAGAGCTTGGGACCCAAAGAGTATGGGACTATACCGGAGGTACGGTATAGTATCCCTCTATATTCCTATTACTTTGGCTTACCATGGCGATATGAATTCCTATGATGTAAAGTGTAGCATTTTTATAATCACAGTCACTGTTTAGCCGCCGTTCTGACTCTTTTCTCACGCTACATCATGCTGTTCTTCGTTACATCGGGTAACGCCTTCAGCAGTCCGGAATATCCCTAAATTTAAGGACAGGGCCAACTGGTCACGCGACACTTTTCAACCAATGAGAAGGCGCACTTGTGTTTATCAACAAACAAATCAAAACATCGCCCCAGTGATCAAAAATTTTCAAAACAACGGACGGAGTCGGACAGAATTAGTCATCGTTTCGGGGCTCTCAGGCATATTTTTAAGACTTTTCATGAGGCATACACAATTTTTTTAAGTAGACAGCGTATCGGAAGCCATATTGGAAGTGTCTCGTGAAATATTCTGCACATTTTGTGGCTTATTTCTTCTTTTATACTACTACATGAAAAATTACTGCAATTTGATTGGCTTAGAGCAGTGGTATTTCAGCTTAATTTGAAATACCTACATGTGAAAATTACAAACCTTTTGCGGGTAGTGGTATAAACAAATAATAGCATGATTTGAAGGTGATATTTGGCATAAATACCACTCGTAATATTTCAAAATTGTCTCAAATTTCACTCGCCTAACGGCTCGTGAAATTACGTATAACAATTTCGAAATATCACTCGTGGTATTTATGTCAAATATCACTACAAATCATGCTATTACCTATACTTATCTTTTAAACAACGCGATGTATAGGCGAGTTTTGGGTCGGTTTTCAAGGTAGGTGAACAAGGATCTATTATTTTTTCGATTCACAGATTTTTTACGAAGTTTTACATATTTTTCCTCGATTGTCATATCGATTAACTTTTATCATGTTGAATGTGGGGATGGTAGACAACCTAGAATTTTGGTAGACAACTTTTGAATTCCGAGGTCCAAAAACACGCACGTTTTCCACTCCCGGGTTTCTCACAGAGCCGTGTTATTACTTTTTTTCGCATTAGTACGAGCCTTTGTCTTTTTTCTTTTCAAGGCCAAAACAACTTTATTAGTCTTATGGATATTCGCGTCCAACATCTCGCCTCACTTTGCCGAATTTGCGGGGATGAAATTGAAGATCATAAGCGCAAGGTAGATACTAACCGCTTTGTTTCTGAAATTCACTAATCTGGAAAGATTTAATGTTGTTGGATTCTTCAAAGAAACAAGGCAAATCTCAATTATAAATGATGTGTTTCGCTACTCATTGAACATGCACTGATTATCTGGGATAAAATTGAAACATTGCAGGTACTACAGCAGGCAAAGAAAGCACCAGAGGCGTGAAGTTAACGCGAAACAACACGAAAAAACAAACAAGAAAAATTTAAAAAGTTATACTACTTTCTATTCTTGTTACGATGACTGGTTCTTTGATTCTTGTCCTGTAGAAGTTAATGGGTAGTACCAATCCTGTTTTGTACGATCTCAACAAATTTTCACGCTTTCTTTCTTTTAAGGCTATTTTTTACACGGGACCAGTTTGCTTTTATCAAAAATCTTCCAAGCCATGCCAGTGAAGCCACAACCTCTGCGAGATCGGTCTGGAATCAGTTCGAACACCCCAATGATTCCTTGCAATGATTAATGCTCTTATTCTCTTACAAAAAATGTTTTCTTTGAAATACTAAATGTGAAACCTAGACGAGTACTGTAAGCTCATCTTTAATTCTGTCCGACTCCGTCCGTTGTTTTGAAAATTTTTGATCACTGGGGCAATGTTTTGATTTGTTTGTTGATAAACACAAGCGCGCCTTCTCATTGGTTGAAAAGTGTCGCGTGACCAGTTGGCCCTGTCCTTAAATTTAGGGATATTCCGGACTGTTCAGAATCCCTCAATTTGTATTCTTGAATGAGTTTCATTTGTTAATTTTGTTTTTGTTTGGAAGGCTAGACTTTTGAAAGAATAAAAAGCAATAATTCCTTGAAAAAGCATGATTTTACTGCTATTGATTAAAAAGTGACTAAAGCGTGTACTTTTTCTTCAGATAACTTTGTACATCGTCTGATTCAGAATAAGACTGACGGGAAACTAGTAGAATATGGATCAGGACAGCAGGTGAGGAGAGCACCGAGTAGAAAATATGTTTATCTTAAAAGCGAGAAGGTTGAATTTGACGTATACCTAATTCAATAAAGGTTGCTTTAACAATTGGTCATTGGCAATCGGGCATTGGGAGACGTTCCGTTTTTTATTCCCCCCCCTCCCCCCCCGCTGGCCCCCAAAGATGACTAGATTCCGAACCCTCAAATTTTTGTCGGCACCCTTTGAAAAATGAAATCCGAAGGGTTCCTTTTTTGTCGGCACCCTTTGAAAAATGAAATCCGAAGGGTTCCTTTTTTGTCGGCACCTTTGAAAAATTTGGCCTAAGGGACCAAATTTTGTCGGCTTCTTTGAAGAAAAAAAACCCGAACCCCGCTATTCAAAAACCTGCCATCCTCAGGAGGGTGTAGCCTGTTCCAGGCTCCGAGATAGTGGTAAAAAGTCGTTCAGTAAAAAGAAATGCGAAAAACGCGCGGGGGCTGGGGGTCGCTTTGCTCGTTTTAATACGTGCGCACTATACTAACTGAGAGCCTGGCACAGGTTACAGGGGGGTGCGCATAAAAAATGGAACGTCCCTGGGTATTTGGGCATACGGAACTCACTGCAATGATTTGCTGGGGTGACCGCCAAACAAGAGTTTCCCAGAGTGCTATTGTCTTTTTATTGAATCGGGGATATGCTGGAACACATTAAGGTGGGATTTGCATGACGTGTTTACAAGATTTAACAAAAGCGTACTCTCTTACTTGCTAATTTAGCAGGTTATGGATGAAGAAAAGATGGATTCTTTAACGCTAGAGGTAATATGTGTGATTTTTTGTAGTATGAAATCTAGGAGCCTGTGCTTCATGAATAATCGTAGGGAGTCCGAAAGCTCTAAATTACCAAATTCAAGGTGCCCTTCACAAGGCCGGTAATTGTTAAGAGCGTTCATTGGTGTAAATGGGAGAAACACACGAATTCAGGACAGTGTAAGCATTTTCACTGATTCTCTCAGCTTGTTCCCCAGATAACAGAATGAAAATTTGTAAGCAGAAAGGTCTTTTCTTTGGGGAACATTTTCAACAGATTAATAGAAAGAGTATAGTAAGCGGCTGAAAGCCTGTACAAACATAGTGGTATACTTAAAGCTGCTCATAAATCGTGGTATCCGATTCGGCGATGGCGCAAAAGAGGAAACCAGACACACAGTTTTAAACGAGAGGGGATGGCCAGACTATCGTTATCCGTGGTGCGGGACAACAACAAAGTCCTTAACCCTTTTGATGATTCGTCCTCATCTTTCTCACTTTTGTTTTTAGTACACGTACCTTTTAACCAGTCAACTAGAAAACCAAAGGCATTATTTCCAAGAAAAAATTACACAGATAGAAAAAGATGCCGCTGAACAGGTAAATAAAGCGTTCAATGTTTTCCCTATTTTGTATCCAAAACTCGGCTTCTTTGTTATATGTAGTCACCTTTCTATTAACGCACACCTCTTTAAGGCAGATACTGAGCTCCATACGAAAACACCACGGAGTTGGTAACAGGGCGCACTGCTGCCAAAATTGGCGACTTGTCGCGAAAATTTTGTTTTACTTGCTACGGCGACCAAAGAAAATGGTCGCATCTTGGTTTCAATTGGAGCGCTGAAGCTAGAAACCCGAACTATATTTTGAGGTATGCAACGGGTTTTATTTCACGAAGAGATTGCGGCTCTTCTTGCTGTCTCCACATTTTCCCGCCGAAAAAAGAGACGGACACCACTCTAAATACTGACACTTACTGCTGTTCTTACACCAGATGTTAATATGTTATTTTTAATGAAAAATAAAGGAAACTCCGCTTTAGCAACAGACCTATGTTCAGATGAATTGAAAAATTGTCGCAGCAATCGGAAAAAAAGTTTGCTGTCTTTATCAAATCCTTGTTGCCCGATGGAGCAGCTAAATATATAAACAAACATTGCATATTCGCCTTACAGTCGTTGTGTTTCCCTTACTTGATTTTTTATATTTGCAAATCTTTTTAAGGTGAGTTCAATGGAAGAGCGGACGAAGAAAACACTGGAAGAATGTAAAAAACTGGAATTGAAACTTTCCGAAGCTGAAAAAGAAAAGAAAAACGTGGAAAAGAAATATGCGCAGGTATTAACTGACCTCCTATTAAAATACCAATGCATTTGCTTTGAAAACTACACAAACATTCCCAAATTTTAGTTTGAAAACTTTCAGTCAACAATCAGCAACGCTGTTAGTGTTCACGGTGAAGGTGATGTTACCAAGGTGACACAGGACGATTCACAACGACGAGTTTTGGCGCAACGATGTTGCTTCTTAAAATGATGCCGTGTAACATGGATGCGCCGACGATTTTCAGCACAATTTTTGGGCTGCAAGTTTTTGTATAGGCTTCAGAAACGTTCAACACCAAATCACGAATTTCGTTCAGATTTTTTCGTGTAGCATACGTGTCGTCAATTTTCCGCGGAACGCCTTTTAAGAACCCTTTTGCCTTCCTTTGTCGCGCAAAAAATCGTCCCGGGTAACGCGTCTGTTTTCAACGGATCTCGCGTGCACGTTTGTGTTGCGCTAACACTTTTCGTTGTAAATGGTTTCCGTGTTTTATCTCCTAAACTTGCAACGCTGTGTTGAGCTAAAAATCTTCGTGGCGAAGAAGACTTCAGTTTACTAAACTGGTTACTGAAGAAATATCTGTCAGTTCTGATAGTTGTCACTGAGGTTCTCCACTCGGCGTCAATTATCTGCCGATAGATATCTTGAGTTCGCCTTTTATTGTTAGATTGGGAATATTGCGCTATGTACAGACAACTAAAATTAAAAATTAAAAATTAATTAAAATCAATATAAATACTTTAGATTGGTGGATATTCTTTAATTTTTGCAGGTTGTAAACAGGGTTGGGAAACTAGTCACCGATCTCAAAGATGAACAAGAGGTTTGTAAACCGACTAATTTTTGGACCTTTAAATTGATACTATGTAACATGTTAACAGTATTTTCTAGTTTGGCCGCGAGGTATTTACCATCGTAGTGCCCTCCCCCTTCAAAATAGACGGCTTTCCATCTTTTCTTCGGATTTAGGGGTGGGCCGAGGGGACCGCGTCCTGCCTTTTTTTTTTCTGTAACTCTTAAAGAATTCTCAGTAAAATAAAACGTATCTATATAGGTGGCAAGTGTCCCGGCCACCCCTTCCTGAATTTTCTGGGTCCGTCTCTGGTCTTTATAACAATCGAAATACTCGATGTCAATAAGTAGTTCTATATTCCCTGTTTTCAGCTAAACAGGTGTTTGCGAGACAATCAGAAGTTATTCCAAGAGAAGTTGTCACAAACGGAAGAAAAGTTACAATTGGTAGAAGCTGCGAAGAAACAGGTACTCCTTGAAATCATGTAGCTGATCGAAGACTTTCGAGTCGGACAGACGCCAATCGTTTTCCTTTGATTTTTTGATAGGAAATCGCTGATCTCCAGGAGCAACTAGCAGATCTCATGCGCCATCTGGAGACACAGCAAGCGATAGCCAGCGCCTCGGAAGAAACAAGACAGGTATTTTAATAAAAACCTTGGTTTTAGCAAACAGTCGTCTCTTCTCGCTGCTCGCCGTGTGGGACGTAGACAGCTGTTTTCGCGGGCTACCTCGGTTTGGTCTCACGCTACTTTCAATACGACTTGCTTGCGTGTACGTACGGGCATAATTCTTAGAAAACGTTGAATTGACCAAATAAGTGGTACCGAGAATTACGGAAATAAGTCACACAAGGTAAATTTAATTGATACTTAAAACACATTTTCCACACCACTTGAGGTGGTTTTCACGTTACGTCATCGCCGCCATGCTGGTGGACGGTAAACAAAAGATCGCTCATTAGCTCGCTTTGTTTGTCCACCAGTATTTGTTTATTTCACCATTTTTATTTGTGTCTCCCGAGACTGCATGAAAACCACCAATAGGAAGAATAGGGACAACAAACGAGAATTTATATTTTGATACTAGGTATTAGGGTTAAAAGTGTTTAACTTAAGTTGTCTTCTTCTCTTACAGGAGTTGCAAGAAGGTCAAGTATTTGTGGGTGAAGGATCAGGTGGTACACACCACACAAAGAAAACAAGGCGAAAGAAGCAGTAGAATCGCCTGTCAGACATACCTTAAAGTCAACTGTTCACTCTGCTTACTCAAGTCAAAGGAGGTCTTGCTTGAAAGGCGAAGCATAGCCATTACTTTGAGCATTATCAACACAGCCCAGGGTGGGATACGCGCTCTCTTAACAACTGCGACTAAGATATTAATTTATACGTCTATGTGTTTGCATGCAAAGACTGTAAATGGACTAAATCAGGAGCCCATCTCCTGACTAAATCAAAGTATGAAGAAACTTAACAAGGGCGGAGGAGAACGGTTGTCCAAATTCAATCGCGCAACCTCGTGATCGACTGGATTACCAAATTCTAGTGCTGAAAATGAAAAAAAAAACTTACGGGAAACAGAAGCAAGTTCGCGCAAAATGCGCGCAAAATGAATGCTACGCGCGCTGTGATTGGTCGTTGTCCATGATCTATTGGAGTAGACACACTGATGACGTCAAGGCAAACTTGTTTTCTTTGTTTTGTCAAACATGGCGCGCGGCTTTGAAAATGTTTGCGTGATAATTTCGGATTAAGCAAGTGAAAGCCCCGAAAAAAGTTTAGCTGGAGCTGTTTACAAGTAAGAAAAACGGAGAAACCGAGACAGGAGATTTCTTGGCGACTCAAAAATACCTAAACTGCAAGAAATCCTCACAACAGTTGCACTCACCGCTGCGAGAGATTGCGACGTTTTGAATACATTTGCGCGATCACTCTGCTTTGAGAACGTGAACGCCTTGCGAAACGTCAGGGGGAAACTGTCCTTACCTCATTTTTACGTCATCTGTGATCCTTACTGAACAGACGACAGCTAAACTGTAGTATAAAATAAAGCAGTTATTCTAGAGAAGTGTTCAAAATAGCAGTTTGCCTTCTTAACAAAACCCTTAAGTCTGATGGCGAAGGAGAAAGCATAAAGAAAACACTGAACGAATAATTAAAGGCTGTAAAGAAATAGTTTTATTTAAGTGTTCTACAAAATAAAGACACAAATCAAAATCACACGTGAATTTAAGACTACGAAGACATCTTTATAGTATGTGTTACATTACCTTCTACACACTATATACAAATCCACGCTTTTTACAC